AAAAATCTGGACCTTGGAGGTAAACGGTACTATGTACACATAGTGGTATTTTACATAGCAAAGAAACAGATAATATGACACTATTTACAATATATTTAAGAAGTAAAAATACAGGAAGTACAAGACAGTGGCACAGATAGATGTAGTACTATCGGTTTGTAACATGGAACTGTCCTTGTTTATTTTCTTAAACAAAGTATGAGTTTGATTACACTTTTATTTAATATTGTGTGGTTTGGTAATTAAAATTGTTTGTTTCTTATAATATTTTGGTTTTTAAAGCTATATTATAATTACTGAAAAATGTTTCTATGTGATAGAATGCTTGTAAAGATGGCCACGGATGGAAATTTTGGTATGAATTATGGTAAGTAATAATAATTTTGATATTACACTCAATTTATACCATTTCTTTGTGAACTGGAATAATTATTGATAATATACTTGATTTAAAAATTAAATTTACCTTATTAAATTACATATTTACCTTTTTAGAGTGATTCTAGTAATCAAGAGATTGTGTTTACTTTGATGAGCAACTTTTAAATAATTTTTTTACTACCTAATTAATTATTATTAAGCTTGAATCTTATTTTAGTATTTATATTAACAAACCTTTATAACTCATTTATTTTCTTTATAGCTAAAACACTACCATCAAAGTCCAATATTATGCAATTTGGAGCAGTTCCTGAGGTAGTAATTTGTACCAATTAATCAAAATCAGATGAGCTGGATCATATATCTCAATCTAATCACAGTCTTCATTATTATTATTTAAATGAAGAGGCCATAATTATGGAATTAGCCAGTAATATGGAAGTTGAAGTGTAGAGACACATAGATAAATTAATGGAAGTTGTGGAAACGAATGAAGTCTTGACAAATGATTTGTAAGAACCAGTGGTCAGTCATTTGGAAACACATCCAATTTCACCTGTTACCAAATCATTGATTGAACTCAACATTGAAAAGGTGTATGAACTGTATGTACACTGAGTAGTGCAGAAAACAAAATAGAAACATTGCAAACCAGTGGGTTTATTTGGATATTTTCATTGCCCCAAAAAAATAATATGTATGGCTTCTTTAAAAATAATGTGAACTTATAAACTGAACAAAATAATTATAGTTATCATTTAAACAATGCAAGTACTCAGTATAAAATTAAAAGTATTGATATAACTAGGGCATGTTGAATACACAGAGTTTTATTAATAGACCTACAAAAGTACCTGCCACTTCCCTGTTAATCTGAGGGACCTCGTATTACAATCAGAAAATATGGACATTATGTGATTAGGATGATGTAGGACAAAAACCAAAGCAGAGTGAGGAGGGTAAAAAATTGCTTTTAGTTTGCTAACTTGACCAGAAGCAGTAATTCCAGACTCTCTAGTTAAAAAAATGACATGCTATGATAATTTTTACAGTCAAAATAAAAACAATGATAATAACCTATATTATTGGATCATGACAAAGTGGAAACAGGCTAAAGAAATCAATCATACATTTTGACTGAAAGGCCACATGGGAATGGCCATATGCATGTGCGTTTTAGATAATATATATGCTGCCATTGAAAAGAAAAAAGGGTTGGTCCAAAACTCATTAACTATTAGCAACAATTGGTAAGATGGTCCATAATATGGAGCTAGACAATTTTGAAGCATTCAAGATGCTATACAGCACACCAGGGTCCCTTTGCATTTTCAGGAAAATTGATAATGGAAAATGTGCATTTTGAATATCAGTCTGTTACATTTTAAGTCTGCTAAGAAAACATTGGAACTTTGTATATAAACAATCATTCTGTGATCCTTATTTCAAAGAGGTTGCTCTCAACAGAAGATCTGAAATTGTTCCAACTGAACTACAACCCATCAGTGATAGTTTAAGGCCTATCAGTGATAAAAATGTAAAGATCTTATGGATATATTGCCATTTCTTCCAAGAAAATGGCACACCTTTTATAAATATGTAAAAAGCAACAAGATCATAAGTAGTTATCCTAAAGATGACTAGTAGTTACTATCCATGTTCACTTCTTTTATATTTTATAATAATTTTAATTTTATCTAATTGCATTTTTATTTAATAAAACGAAGTTTACTTGAAATTGGTCAGCTTTTATTTACCCTTTATATTTATGGATAATTTCTTCTTCTTCAGCCTTTATTTATCCATTGTTGGACATAGGCCTCCTCCAATTGCTTCCACCCTTTTGCAATTCTCATCCACTGCTCTCTAGCTAGAGCTGTTATATCATCTATCCATCTCTTTTTGGGTCTGCCCACGCTTCTTTTTGTTTCTCGAGGTCTCCAGAATGTCACTTTGTGAGACCATCTGTTGGTGTCTTGTCTTGCTATATGTGCTACCTATTGCCATCTCAATGTCGCTATTTTTCTCATGATGTCAGTTACTTTAGTTCTTCAACGTATTCCATTGTTCATGCATAATTTACCATTCAGTAAATTATCCATATTTTTCACAAGAGCAGATTAGAATTTTTGATGGTATACTACACTGTCATATAAAATTGCTAGTTTTATTGAAGAGTAAATATAATCTTACTGGTGGAATGTTACACATTACATAGTAACATTATTATGTATAGAAAGAAGTTGATCTCAACACATTTCTGATAAATGTATGAATAATTTGGTGTATAATTATGAGATATGAACCTTCAAACATTGTTACTGAAAAATTAAGTGAAATGACATAGTGCAGTTTTCCTCTGAGGTCCAGAAACATTGAGTTATTTATAAAATTATCAAAAGGCCTCAGTTGAATAACAGTTGAAAAATCTTGGCTAAAACCAAAGACAATTATGACTGTTAAAAATATTAATACCTGTGTGTAAACTAGATGGAAAATAAAGAGAATTCTATTCTACTGCCAGGGGCAGACTAAGGCCCGTTTATGCCTAGGGCTCATAATTTTTGGGGTCCGAAAATTAGATTTTTAATTTTTGTAAGAAATTTTTATTTTTAATTAACAGAAAAACGTGATCTTCATAATTATTATGAAAACATAAAGAAATTTTATAAAAGTATTACATTACTTAATTAAAATATTATATAGCTACTCGTATTATATAATACCAAAAATTGTGCTTTTGTTTGTGATTATGTGTAAAAATAATTCTTATTGAAGATCATTTTCTTCTTTCTTTTTAGTATGTAGTCTTTAAAATGAACGTATATAAACATTTAACTGGAAATGAAAAAGGAAAATGAAAATTAGCAAAGCAAGAACATTGTTTACATCATTTTTTCTCAAATAAAGGTGACAAATCATTAACAAGGTCCGAAGCTGCCGGTTTACATAAAAAACTTGATACGTTTGAGTATGTACCTACTGTTAATTACTATATGTATGTGAAAAGATTTTAGAGAGAATAAATACTTCAAACAAGACAAATCAACAAAAAGATGAATCGTTAAATGGAGCACTTTTAATATATATGTAGTTCATTAATGGATTTTATACAAACTGTTACAGATGATTTTGACAAATTAGAAAACGAGCCGAAAAAGTTGAAAGATATAGCAGGTACTAATGTTAAAAAAGCCAGAAAATATAAACATTTATTTGAAAGTAAATTAGACCACATACTATATCCTTGGAAACGAAACTACCAAACGTAAAATATGTACCAGGACTAAAAAATAGGCCCGGAATTACAATGTTACCTGGTTTAGCCTTAATCTGCCACTGCCTACTGCAGTTCTAAACTTCTCTTAAAAAAGTAAAATAAGACAATTATTGTTTTAATATTGATTACCAAAGAATGTTATTACAAATAAATATGTGTAATTACTGATTTACAATTTAGTTGGAGAAATTTTTACATTAAACACCCATGGACAAAAATATCGAATATTTTGAATTTTTCAAATTTTTGTTTTTTGAAAATAAATTCTGGTCAATCCAGTCGTTTACTGCAAAGAAGAGTTTATTTAACAATATTTAATGAACAATGTTAAGGTTTTATGCGAAAAAAAAATACGAAAAAAAATGCTTAATGTTAGGCAAATAAGATTATTTTACTTTAAACTTTAATGCCAATTTAAAATGCTTAAACAAGTTGTTTTAACTAAAACAAGGGCATGATCAGTAACGAGTATTTCCTACTCAAGCTCTTATTAGTGCCTGCATCCTTCTCGGCATGCTTGCAAGTAAGTTTTGGACATATCCTTAGGAAATTGCATTTTATTCATGCTGTGCAGCAAGCCGAAGCTGCTCTATCGTATTTGTAACAGGATTTCTTTGTCGTATGCGGTATTTTAGCTGATCACACATGTACTCTATTGGATTTAAATCTGGACTAAAGGGTGGCTAATCCAATCTTCGAATTTGGACCTCATCAAGATAATTAATTGTTATGGCAGTGGTATGTGGTCAAGCATTATCGTGTATTAACATGAATCTGTAATATCCAATGTAAAAAACATATGGCAGAGCACGATCTTGCAGCAATACCTTCCCAAAGCATTATGCCACCACCTCCAAAACTAACGGACTGGGCGAGATTGCAGGTAGCGAATCGTTCCCTAACTCTTCTGTAGACGTGGTTTTGACTATTTGGTTTTCATAATAGGATTCTGGTCTCATCAGTAAAAAGAACGTTTTTTCAGTTGTCGATATTCCACTGAATATGTGTTCTTGCAAATTCTAAACGACAAGCTTTATGATTTTTTGAAAAAGACGTGGAATACAAGACGTAATAAATTAAACTAAAAATATCCGAATTAGTATGATTTTTTCACGTATATTTAGCACACTAAACGCTGAATAAACGTCAAAATATTCTAAACTAACTGAGAACATCAGCCTACTAAATGAGTAACATCAGTAATCTAAAATTATTTTGAAATAATAGTGAATCCAAAAAAAAAAATTGGAAAATTCTAAAATATTCGATATTTTTGTTCATGAGTGTATTTTATGTATACTTATACTCTAAAAATTATTGTTTTAGTACATAATTTTTATTTATTTTAGGACATTGTGGATTGGTGTAATGTTTTAAATTCAGTAGACCTGTTTGATACATTTACAAGATGGATAGAAGTAACAGTTTTGCATATCAATATCAGAATACTGATGAAACTTACTTTAATAATCCCGATTTAATTAGAAGATTACCAGTACATGATGATTTCTTAAAACAAGAACCATTTTTGGATTTAAACTACACATGCCCAAAGGATATTAAAGTCAAGAGATATATTGGTTCTGGTGTCACATTTATTAGTTTAGTTGCTGAAAATTTACTTAGTCATCCCTTTGTGGTACTTAGGAGGCAATGTCAAGTTCACCAAAATGCCCAGAAATATCATCTACAACCTTTCACTCTAATGCCAGTAGTTTGGCGTTTGTATCAACATCAAGGTATAACGAGCCTTTGGAAAGGTATAGGTTCAGTTTTATTAGTTAAAGGAATGTCCTTAGGAGTAGATGATATGATTTCTAAAGTAACACCCTGGCCTAAAGATATATCTTGGCATAGCAGCCTTAAACAATTTTTTCAACATACTTTACTAAAATGTCTTAGTTTAGCCACAGTTACTCCATTTTATTCAGCTTCTTTTGTAGAAACCGTTCAAAGTGACATAGCTAGTGAAAAACCTGGTATTTTAGATGTGTTCAAGGAAGGTATCATGAGGTTATTACATTGGGGTTCACCAGCAAATGGTAGAATGTTACCAATATGGGCTCTTATTGTACCCACTATTACATTAGGTTTAGCTAAGTATATGTTCTCTATGTTAGTTAAAGGTATAACTATCAGAATTCTGGCAGTTAAATCAAGAGCCAGATATGAAGAAAATGGCGCACTACCAAAAGACCCATATAATTCTGAAATGCAGGACATTCAACTAACAGCTTCCTTAGTTGCTTTGATTACCACTGATATTCTTTTTTATCCATTTGAAACAGTAATTCACAGAATCCATCTACAAGGTACCCGTACAATCATTGATAATTTAGATACAGGAAGATCTGTGTTACCCATTCTAACAAACTATTCGGGTGCTATTGATTGCTATGAAAGTTGTTTGGCAAATGAAGGTGTTAGTGGCCTTTATAAAGGATTTGGAGCTCTTATCCTGCAGTATACAATTCATGTAGCTCTTTTAAAAATGTCACATTGGATCCTAACGCAAGTTGGCAATTTAGTAGTTCAAAGTCCTGAATCCCAACCAAAAATACCAGCAAAAATTTCTCCTCCTGCCATTTCCAATTTGACTGTTTCACGTAGGTCATATCTACTTCCTTGAAGTCCATGGAATATTTATTCTCATAGAAAAAGTTGGTAAGGTTTATGAACTTATTTTTTGTTTTCAATATATAGTTAATTTTCCTTCTTCTTTCAAAGGTTCTTTCTTTTAAACATTGCGATAGAATATTTTACATTCATATTCATAGATATTGCTGAGAAATGACTTTTTCTTAACTTTTAATTCTTTCTTTCCATGTATTGCACTCTCTATACCTGTTAAAATTGTATTTACATACAAATATAATTCTATAAATTCTATAAATTAAAATGAATTTAAATAAAACAAAAGTAATGACAAATCAAAATATCACAATCGACTTAGATGGAAGTGAGATCGAAAGTGTCGAAGAGTATATATACCTAGGTCACACCATCAAACTAGGCAAACAGAATCAAACAGCAGAGATAACTAGAAGAATCCGAATGACTTGGGCAGCAGTAGGCAGACTCAGTGATGTGTTGAAGAACAAAAAGATACCAATAAATCTAAAGAAAAGGGTATTCAACAGTTGTATTCTACCGGTTATGACTTATGGAATGGAGACCATGACACTTACAGAGTTGTCAGCCAACAGATTAAGAACAACACAGAGGGCCATCGAACGAGCTATGTTGGGAGTATCACTGAGAGAACATATACGAAACGAGGACATACGAAGCAGGACGAAGGTGGAAGATGTAATTGGAAGAATTGCACAAATGAAATGGAACTGGGTAGGGCACGTGGCACGGCAAAACAACGACAGATGGACGAAAAACATTGTACATTGGAGACCACGCGAACACAGTCGGAGTAGAGGAAGACCACAAAAACGATGGCTAGACGACATCAAAGCAAAAATGGGGAGAAACTGGCACCAAATAGCACAAAACAGGGAAGAGTGGAGAACTCATGGGGAGGCCTTTGTCCAGGAGTGGATGCAAACAGGCTGAAGAAGAAGAAGATAATTCTATAAAACTTCTGTTGGATACCTATTCTAGATGTGGATGTTAATATTTAGTTTTCGGTTTTTTGTAATGTTCAGTATTATTTTTCAGCTATTCAAAATGTTCATTCTTCTCTTCTGGTGATGCTGTGTCTGTCTTCAGACCTTAGTTATCATTATTTTAATAATATGGAACCTTTCTCTTTCACTAGCAAATCTTCCATCCGAAGACAGTTTCTTACACCCAATTTACAGTCTTCCTTCAACTTTTCTCTGGATAATGAGTCACAACAATAACTATTTAGGTCCTCTTATGATATTATCAAAGTATTTTGTTTTTTCTTCTTTTAATTAAATACCATTATTCTAAACAACTACTCATTGGTAATGTCTGTCATATCCATGATATATTCAGAATTCAGTGATAGCATGACAGCTCAAATACTTTCAACTTGTAAATTATTGTTTCATTTAAAGTACTTACATGTATTATAATTATTTCTTGTTTGCATTATTTTTATATGTTTAATTGAATTATTTCCTTGGTTCTTCGCTAGTTACCATTTTATTACTTATATGCCAATTATTGAGATCCATTCAGTCAAATTATCTGAAACGGCCTTAGAAATTGGCTCATTGTTCAAAAAATCTCTTAAATACAAAATTTTAATAAATACAAAAGTTATTAATAATATTCAAAAACAGCGATTTTGTTGTTCATTTTGAAATATATTTTTTGTTTATCATCCGATTTTTTTAATATGTTCGATTTTTGATCATAACTTAAAACCGACAAGGTTTTAAGTTATGACCAAAATAATGAGTTTGACGTTTTGATTGTTTATTTAAAAATAGTTCCACTAAAAAATTGATGAATCCCTAGATGAGAGTCTTTTTCTATTATCTCGTACTATACATTTCAACCGTCAAACCCGTTTATACAGTTATGACGAAAAAATTATTATTTTTTACTAACTTGATTGGTCTATTATTGATTTTTTATACTCTTGCTTATTTTTTCTTGTCCCAACATTTTTGCAAGATATAAATAGTCTACAATTATTGCAGATTATTTAAAGCTACCTCTATTTAAGCATCTTTATTTTCTGAAGTATTTGTGGGCACGTTTTGTTTCATTATTGAAAGTATATAGCCGGTTATAGGATGTAAGATAAAGGTTATTAGAATTGCACGTAATAATACAAAAACAAATCACTTAATCTAAACTGTATTAAAAAAATGCACATGTAAAATATTTTGTAAGCGATAAATTTAAAACTAACGTCCTTATCGTAACGTGATTGTGATGAGACTCTCAGTGGTCGACCGTCTTCTGTCCGCAACTACCTGGCAGCCCCTCTCGAGGGGTGTAAAATGAATGTCTAGTATAATTTGACTAAAAGTGTATTATACCGGGTTGCTCGAAAGTTTTAACACCGGTTTTCTTCAAAATATTTTTCAGTACAAACCGTGTCCATTTGCATTCTTCATTAGTTTTATGGGTTAAAGACACATTTGTCAGTTTATAAGGATATTTGCCTAATTACTAAAAATGTAAATTTTAACAAGACGCCTAAGAGACTCATTAGTATTCAGCTCAGCTTTGTGCTATTATTAGAGGCCTGACATTACATAAACAAGGGATAATTTCATAAATCAGGTAGATTCCCTATTTATGGAATTCCACACCTCTAGCAAGAGCATCACGCTGAGCGGAATACACTTCGATATCTTGTTAGACTATCTAAAGCAACTAAAAACCTTATTTACTAAAAGGTTAACAGATTCTTCTTCTCTCAGTACCATGTCCATTACTGAACGTTGACTATCATAATTTTTCTTCACCGCAGCTCGAAGAGTGATGACGAAGATTAATTAAGCCACTCACGCAGGTTACGAAGCCATGATGTTATTCTTTGACTGAGACCCCTATTCCACATATTTTGACCTAAATAGTAAGATAAAGGATTCCGTATCGTTCTGGGTGTCACATGAAATAGGCAAAATACTTCAATTTTCGCATTTTTACGATTTTCATTACTTCAAGTTGCTTGTTTTAGACGTTGTAATACCTCTTCATTTGTCACTCTGTCAACATAGCGTATGCGTAGCAGCCTTTAATACACCCTTATTTCGAAAGCTTGGAGTTTATTTAATAGAGATTTAATGAACGTCCAGCGTTCAACTCCTTACTATAATGTCGAGAAGATGTAACATTTGATGAGTCTTATTTCAGGTTATTAATATTGCGTCCACTCACTTTTTCCATTCAGAAGAACACTTCTCTAAAGTGTTCAGTTTTAAGCTGTATTCTGAAGTGTATTTAATACTGTCAATTAAAAACTGTAGTTCTTCGTCAGATATCGCAATCAACACAGTATCATCCGCATATTTCCGATCGCTGATCTTAATTTCTTTGAGCGTGATACCAAAACCCATTCTCAAGGGGCAAGTGCCCCTTTGAGATTGGGTTTTGGCTAGTTTAGATTCAATATGAGTGCGCTTTTAACCACCCTTCGACTCGACTTAAAGCTATGGTTTGTTAGAACACTGAGCGACACATAGCTCACAGTCAGTCGAACGCCTCGCACGTTCGTCAAAATCAAAGAAATGGTTTTCTATGATAACGGTTTGTTAGGTTCTGCTGAGCTGTGCTCACTGCAGACCGATAGCCGCGTACGTCGACAGTGTGCGCTGGAATCAACTGCGATTTGATTTGGACGCAAACGTTCAGCTGAGCTGACAGCGTACACATCTATACCGAAATTATAATTGTATTTTTACATAGTTATTAATATTGTAATAATTAAGTGATGTCTACTGAATTTTCTCCCGAGAAAGATGAAAGACTAGTGGATCTAGTACAAATTGTAAGGCCGTTCCAAATAAATCACTGGAAAGTCTAAAATATTCTCGAAATTTTTCCTCGTTTTGAAACAATCTTTCTTTCACTGTTAATTTAAAAGCACCTTCTGTAGTAAGACATGAAAAAAATTCGTTTACATTTTTATTTCTATTATTTAAATTTAACGTTATCAACTCTTATTCTTTCTTCTCTTCTTGGAGTAATAAAATTATTGCATTAAGTTTTCGAGAATTAATTTTTTTAAATGTACAATCTTTGAGAGAATAAATGTGAAACTAATTTCTAAACTTGTTTTCAGAGCGACAAAATATTTATGCGAAATAATCTAACACCCAAAACTGCCGTGAGTCGGGTACAACAGATTCTGCTGTGCGCTGCGCACTGTTCTAACAAACCGTAGCTTAAGAGATCTATTGTGGCTCATCCTTACGTTAAAGTTGTTCTTTTAGCCTAGCTTTTTTAACAAAGCCTATTATGGAATTGGGCGACACTTCTACGAGTTCGTAGGACTCGAGTTAATACTGCTTAAATGCATTAAGCCTTATCCTAACAAATCCTGAGTTCTTCTTAGAGTGCCGTCTTCCTACGGAGGTTGGCAATCATAATGGCTATTTTTATTTTAGAACTTGCTGCTCTAAACAATCCTGAGTAGTTGCAGAGAAAGGGTTCTGTCAACTCGTCTTCAGTCTGACACAATCTGCAATTGGCACTTTCTGTCAGTCCGATTTTATTCATATACTCATTAGCGACAGTGTCATGTTAGGAGACCTACGATAATTCGCTGATCATTCCTATTACTAGATCTTTGAATCTCTTCTTCGAAGGTTAGTGTGTAGAAGCCTTCGACTCGAATGTTTGAGACTTATTTCTTCATACCAGGAGTTACGTTTCATCCGTTCCACCGAGTCCGATATAGTTCTTTTGGCCATACTTCTTGCTAGGATAAGGAAAGTTTCTAGGTCTGTGAATGTTCCTTTTTTTGTTCCTCCCCTGGCAAGCAGATCCGCTTTTCGTTCCCTTCAATACCAGTATGTCACAGACAACCGAGTAAACTTTTGTTGGTACCTACCTTCCCCGATCCCAATCAGATTCTCAAGACAGTCCAAACTATCTTAGAGTGAATTCGATTCGATTCCGGTGTTTTTGATGGCAAGCAAAACTTCGTTTTGTTGAATATTCTTTCCATCTAAGCCGCTTATTTAGTATTAGTTTTAAATATTTGACCCCATTCGCCCCTTTGACAGTTTCTCTATTACACAGAGCGGGCATCCAGATGTTATCTAGGTTTCCTCTCCTTGTGTAAACTGACTACTACTGTTTTGCTAG